GCCTATACACATTTGAAGTCACCAACAAGAAAGAGAGTTTTGTTTCAAAGAGATGAATGGATGCAGATTATTATACAGAGAGACCTACACACATTTGAAGTCAATAACTGGAAAGAGAGGTCTCATTCAAAGAGATTAACTGGTGCAGGTTATGTCAGCAGGAATGAACCTTTAGGGTTAGAAAAACTGAAGAAATATAAGAAGACCAGTGTTGCCACTTTGGATCTTTTATATCCAAATTTAGATCTTTTTCATTGCATTTAGATACTGTTTTTGGCGTTTAGATCATAAACATTCTTCTAGACGCCTTTCATATGGAGTTAGATATTTTATAGATTTTTTTCTTTCATTGTCAATTTAATAATTACTGTGTAAAATATTTACTACAATATTTTTGTTTTGGTCTGGCACGTATTTTTGTTTTGGGCTTTTTGCTTTTTTTTTTTTTTTGTTTCTGCTTCTTGCATTGCTTTGCGAACAACTGCCATTACTTGAACTTTGAACTCTCACTGGGGTCAACGCACAAATATCTGGCAGCCCCGGTACTGATTAATAAAACCGCGCATAAATCATACTAACTTTGTTTCAACCGTATCCTCACTGTGCTGACTTTGCGTTTCTTTTTCATGTGATTAAAAAAAAATAATTGCTTACCTTCTTATGTGGCTTTCACTTTGAAAAAACCTTTCAACATGCCAAAAGTAAAGTATGAGCTAAAAAGTTGGAAAGAGTGGTTGCATGATGACAAAATTAAAAACTGGGGATATGACCAAAGCTTGTTGTAAGTACTGCAAGTGTGAAATTAAAGCAAAAATACAAAAGTCAAAGACTCATGCAGAGACTAAAAAAGCATAAAACTGCAGTTTCATTTAAAGATATTACACCGCTGACATCTGTTTTCAGAACTATACTGATAAATGAATCATCAAAAGTTGAAGTATCAGTTGCAATGTTTTTAATTTGTCACTGCGCAATTTCAAACTGTGACCATTCGATCGATTTGTAAAAAATCTTGGACTAGTTCAGTTTAAAATGTGTGATGTAGAAAGTATAGTTTAGGAACTGAAAAACCTTTTAATCAGCAAACAGTTAGGCTTGAAGAATTTGGCTGTAATTGGTACTGATAATGCCTCAGTGAAGTTGGTATAAACAATGGCGTTTATGCCAAGTTGAAGGAAATTAACCCATCGTTAATACTTATAAAATGTATGCGTCATTCTTTGCAGCTAGCATTATCACATGCTTCATCTAAATATTTACCAAGGAATCTGGAATACCTTATTGCTGAAACACTTTACTGGTTTTTCAAATCATTTGTCAGACAACAGCAATGCAATACATTATATACAGCCTTGAATGATGGTTCCACACCACCGAAAATTCTGTCAGATTGCAAAACTAGATGGTTATCAATTTAACCAGCTGTTGAAAGAATTATGAAGCAATGGCTGAAGTTGAAGACACACTTTGAAATAACAAGACAAAGTGAAAAGTGCTACACAGCTGAAATACTATATGGAATGTACAGTGATGAAAAAAATGTGTCATTCATTCTCTTTTTATAACCTATTCTAATGGAAGTGCAAAAAGTTAATAAACTGTTTGAATCTAAACTTGTTGATAAAGTTAAATTACTTGATGATCTCACCTTGCTATTTCACTCGGTAAAAGACTGGTGTTGCCAACTTCTAAAGCTGATTTGCTCACTTGCACTATAGGGAGCTATTTGGCTCCTAAGCCACACCTTGGATATTAAATCGAATCAAAAATTGATGATTTAAAAACAAAAGGACTGTTAACAGAGAATGAAGAGAACAACTTAAGAAAACGCTGTAAAGATTTCCTTATCTCATTATTGAAGCAATTGAAGCAGAGACTTCCTGAAAATCTAGATGTTTTTAAAAATATTTTACTTTTTTTCTGTGAGCACATACTTCAGCCAATAAAGGTCATACCTAAATATTGTAAAGTTATGAAATTTTTAGGGTCTACTGATAATAGTGTCGCGGAAGCAGAATATCAGTTAACCAAAATCAAGTTAGCTGAATGGACAAAACAGAAACTAAAGCGTTTTGGGGTGAAGTGAGAAAATTTATAGATGCCTCATCAATCAAACAGTCCATTCTGTAAGCTCTTTAAAGTGCCATGTCTGCCATGATACTACCCCATTCAAATGCTGACGTAGAAAGAGTTTTCAGTGCTAGGAATCATATCAAATCTAACCTAAAAAACAGGATGAAATTTGACCTCTTAAATGCTATCGTGCCATTAAAATTCGGCCTGATGAGACTGGAGAAATAAGCCTACTGTTCCACTTATAAAGAAATTTGAACAGCTAAAGCATACCAGGGTCATTTTGGATCTGAAGCTTCAACTTCATTATCCAAGCTAAGTTTATCCTGTGGATCTTGTGAGGCTAACATCAGTGAAGGCGAGGACATGATTATGTAGGGTAAGTCAAAACAAAAGCTATGTAATTTTTGACTTTTTCAATTTGGATGTTTTTTCTAGATCTTTTCCACGCAGATTTAGATCTTTTTAGATATTTTTTGACACCGTTTTGAATATTTTTTGTCAAAGAAAAGTGGCAACACTGAAGAAGACCCAATGTAATTTACACCACGCACTGTAAAAAAAAAATGTATGAAATACATAAATGGAACGCGGCTACGACTTAGTGCGAGGGTCAGGCTATATCACTCTGATGTACAGAAAGGTGTCCTCAAACCAGTGTCGGCACATTTCAAGTCTTAGGGGCACAAAGGCGGCTTTGATTTGGAGGTTCTTTAGCACAGCTATTTGTTTTTTATTTTTGATGTTCACATGCGTCTTCAACTGGCCACACATATGCAGCGGCATTAGTAGTAGTATTAGAAGTATTAAAAGTAGCTTTGCAGCAGTAATGGTAGCTGTAATAGTGGTAGCGTTTTAGTAGTAGCAATAGCAGCAGCAGCAGTAGTGGTGGTGGTGGTGGTGGTAGTAGTAGTAGTACTAGTATTAGTGATGGTAGTGGTAGTAGCAGCAGGAATAGTAGTAGTTGTTTTGAAGACAGAAATGTAAACAGACGGACTGAAGGTAAAAAAAGCACCATCCAATGAAATATTTTGTTATTTGTTTGTTTTAAGCGTTGTAAAATTAGCGCGCCTGTACGTTTTACACTCGGCCCTTTGAAACACTCATCTTTCGCACATCAATTTTATATTTATAATGTTATGTTCATGTTATGCTCATGACACACCTAAACAAAAGAAGCAGAAGAAGCAAGAAGAAAAAGAAGAAGAAGAAGAAGAAGAAGAAGAAGAAGAAGAAGAAGAAGAAGAAGAAGAAGAAGAAGAAGAAGAAGAAGAAGAAGAAAAAGAAGAAAAAGAAAAAGAAAAAGAAAAAGAAAAAGAAGAACAACAACAACAACAACAAAAACAACAACAGGAAAAGAAACATTTGACAACAAGGATATTTACAACAAACGAATTGTCATGAATGAATTTGTCATTTTAATAAAGCATAAAGTTTGCTGATAATGATGTCAGTGATCGAGATGACTGTACTCCTTGACTCACTTAGCAGATGCTAAAGTGTATTGGATGAAAAGTGCGCATCGGAAGCAACAAAATGGTGACTGGAATTTTCACGTCTCGAGTTATTCACACAAATCCTATACTTACTTGCCTCCCACCAATGTAATCCGTATTAAAGAGTTCATAAACTAGCCAAAAAAGGCGCAAATGAATAAAAACATGACGTAAGTATCCTATCAAAAGAAGAAGAGAATAAAAAATTTTATCAGAAAACCACAAAACCCGACAAAAGACGATTACCATATGATGGACAGACCAGACCAAGTCATTTTTCTACGCCACTGTCGACTTCGCAGCCACACGTACACACGATCAAAGATTCGCGAATCAGCTATGTTCTAATGTGGATTGGCATCTGAGACAACAACAGATCATGTCCTCCAAGTTTGTCCCAAATACAACATATCAAAGCAAAACTTTTGGCTAAGAAAAACACAAGTGCAAGCCAAAATGTGCGTGTCGCTGACTGAATTAGAACGGACAGTGAAGCTCATACTAGAAACAACATTGCAGATATAATATAGTTGTGATGACCCTGCTTTGCATGGTCTCCACGAGTACATTGTGGCAAGCAGGAAGTCCGTGCTACAAGTCACGGCACGAGATACTTGTGGCCGGTGGAGTAAGCGATGAGAAGCCCGAGCTAGCCTCGTGGTCAGTCGATCATCAGAAGTCAGAGAAGACGGTTGTAGTATTTGAAGATGTCGTCTTTATGTTGCGCAAATGTTTAATGTTCGAATATGTCGCGAGTGATACAGTGTGAATAATGTTTGAACATGTGAAATAAATGGACCAGAATAAACTGACAGAATGTACCAAGAAGCTGAGCGGCGTTTGTGTTGTCAACCCTAGATGTTAAATCTGGTGCAAACCAAGGTTCATTCCAAGTGTAGCATCGACTCATTCCAAGCAGACCACGATTCATTCCAAGTTGAATCAGAATCATTTCAAGATAGTTGAAAGCGTAACTTCAAGTCTACATTTTGACGCATTCCAATAGTCTATTTCAAGCGAACGAAATAAGACGAAGAAATTGAATTGGTGCTAACCGTTTGTCAGCTGTTACCATCTATGGACAAAGGAAACACCATCATTGCCATTCGAGAGACTAAACGCTGTGATGTTTTCAGCTTCATGGACATTTTTTTTTTCTCTGAATAGATTGCATGCCCTGGGTGTACAAATTAAAGCCCTGAGACAGGAAAGCCATACGTAAGCCACCCGTTGTTACATCAGCCAGAACAGTACGGGAGTTTTTAGCCTTAAAACACTTGGAGACATACCCAGGAGGTGATTGAATCACTTATGATCGTGTCCCATGTGAGATGAGGAGGATGTTTAAATGAACAATGAAAAATGTTTGTCAGTTTTTGTATCGATCTAGTGTTACACTAAAACATCAACAAAAACCATTCCCTTAGTTAGCTATTCCACTTTATTTGTAATAAAATCTGCATTAAGATAAGGTGTGGTATTGAAAACTTTAGTGCCCATATATTCATCCCTTGTATCGTTGAAGATTTTCTCTTCCAGACAGCCGATGACAACTCTGTCTTCTTCAAGAAAGAATTTGTTGGCAAACATCATCAGGGATTGCCCTAGAAGCGGCAAGTCTCCTGGATAGAGATAAATTCAAAACATTGAAGAGATCCTAAATATTACAAACAAAACAAATTAAGGCTTATAGTGAGATCATACCATTCTGTTGTAACGGTTCGAAGGTCCCCATTAAGCATACAAACATGTCATCCTAAGAAATGCACATAACGGATTTTACCACAAATTTTCTAACCTCTCGCCTTAACATTCAAATCTCTCTGCAGTGTCGATCAGTAACTAATCATTCGTAATAATAATTCCACATTGTGCCCCTGTGTACCCCCCCCCCCCCTTATCCCCACCCCTCTTCCCTAAATCACAATGATGTATCAAGTGCCTTGTTAATGTTAAAATTTTAGTTTTTTTTTTTCAAATTCGTCCCAAATTGAAACGTCTAGCTGTTTGTGTTGATTAAACATTTTCTGTATATTTCGTGCAAATGTCATAATACTGGTTTTCTTGGGGGAACTTATATAGTAATATATATATATATACACACACACACACACACACATATATATATATATATATATATATATATATATATATAGAGAAGAGAGAGAGAGAGAGAGAGAGAGAGAGAGAGAGAGAGAGAGAGAGAGGGAGAGAAGTGGGGAGGGGGGAAGAAGGTCTTGAGTTTGAATCCGAATCTTCATCTGCTTTTATTATCACACCACTCCCCCCTCCCCCCACCCACCAGTGGCACAAATCCTCCCAGCCAGCTCAGGCGATGTCGACACATCCTTAGCTATAGCATTCTGTTTGATTATTTTCTGGACTGGATAATCATTTTAGTGGCTGACTGGTTATTTCAGTTAGACATAGAAAAAAGCTTTTGATAGAGTATGGAGAAACAAACTATTAGCTATTTTTCAAAGAAGTATGAGATACAAATGTCGGCTCTGTGGCTAAGTCGATGCCGGGTTTGATCCCAGCTGCGGGCCATGCGCCTTGTGTTGGTTTCGACAGTGATATCAAGAAAGCCGACCGTCCAGAGGCAATGGCAAAGTACTGGAAGTAAATTTACCTAGAGAAACCACACAACAGCCAGGAGCTGTTGGGGTTGGTTATGCCGAGTCCTGTAAAGGATACGCAACTAACCATGGGATACACGGAGAATCGCTGTATAACTTCGCGACCATGTACCACACTTCCTAAAGCGCTGTGACAACACAAAAAGATCTTGTCTTTTATGTTTCAACCAATTCAGGGTGAGGCAGGGATATGTGCTTTCTCCTTTTTTGTTCAGATAGGATATCAAGAGAAGCAAGCTTTACAGCAGTCGACTCAGAAAATCCAGAAGATGAGGTACTTTGCTTTCAGGAGCAAGAATAAAGTATGTACACAAAAAACGAGTTACTTTACTGTTTGCAGACTAACAAAACTGAAGTTAAGCAGCTCAGGAAATGTTCTAGTACACTACATGTAGCGTTGAAATGTACTTGTCTGAAGGGAGTTTACGAATTTTAATATCTTCGAAGAATATATTTGGAGGGCGGCGTCCGTGGCTTAGGCTTTGCTAGTCCGACTCTTAATTCCAACGTATCGTGATCGAAACTTACTGCTAACTGCATGGATTTGTCCCATTGTATGGAGCGTCGCAGGTCGACCGAGCATAAAATGGGTACCAGGATGTATGTCCTGGGGAAGTATGCGCCTAAAAGCGTAAGAATAGATGTTTGCTTTATTTATATGTTCGGAGGAGGAAAGAATGAATCGGGAAATAAAAGCAAGACGCCAACGAGCCAGTGCACATATACCAACTGACACCGTTATTAACATATTCAAGCATAAGTATGAGCGCCAAGAAACAGATTATAAACAGCATATTCTTGCAAATACTGTGCTACAAGTGCCAGCATTCAACATTATCAAAGGCTAAAATACGAAAAATAAACACCTGTGAAATGAGATGCCGGAGGTAAGACGTCAACTTAACCATCAGAGACAAAATTAGAAATGATATTATCATACAGACTGTAGGAACAACACCATGCAGCAAATTAAGCAAGAAACAGAAGATCAAATGGTTTGGTCATCTATTGAGAATGCGACCAGAACAACTACCAAGGCAGGCGCTACAGATGAAAAGATTTATAGTAAAAGCAAGAGGTCTCCCTAGGAGAATATGGATTGATGACATTAAAGAGCTTCTATAAAGACATAGAATGAAAAGAGCCACTGCTGCCTATCAAGCAATGGATCGCAAAGTGTTCGCAAAATGTCATTGAATAGTTGACTATTTCAATAATTGGGTCATTATTTGATTGAAATTTATATTATCTTGCCCAACATAAACAATAAATTGGGCACTAGAACATTTAAAAAAAAAAAACTACATGTGAAATGCGCTGTAGCCTTAAGGTCACTAACAACACAGCGTTAAAAAGAATATTGGAATAACAACTTGTCTGAATTATATTTACAAATAAAGAATGGAATGTTTCGGTCATCTAGTGAGTATGCAGCAAGACCAAGCTGCATATAAGATGTTTTACAGCACAGCATCTGTGAATAGTGATTAGAAAGGATTAGCATCGCAGCACTCCGGATAGATCTCCTCCTGCAAAGGCTTTACAAGTGTTGACCGACCGATGACGCCTGTTCTGTGTTGATTAATGAAATGTCTTGTCAGTGAAATGTTCATTTCTTGAAGCTCTAGGCTGCACCTCCTAAGTCCATCAGCCTAGACAGGGATACGAAGTCATGCTCGTTGTCGTGCTCGTAGTCAGGGTGAGTGCTGCCCATGACAATGACAACATCGCTTTTGTCCAGTACTGGACAAGCCATTGCAACGGAAGAAAAAAAAAAGTAAAGGACCCTCTTCCCGGCCTTAAGGCGTATAGGGCATATAAGGCTAGACATATATTTTATAGACCAATCGGCATATGATGGGCGATGTGGTCAGCATCAGACCGGCCGCCTTTCCTTCCCAGGACTGCACCCGGTACCCTTCAAGGCTGGGTCGACCTGGGAGCCAAGGTCATTTTTGAACAATTTCGGCTTTTCGATCCGCGGCGTGCGTCTAGATGCTCCGCCACGGGCAACGGTAGTGGTTATGAGATAATCTGCACGCTCATTCCCTTGAACACCCGCACAAGCTGGCACACAGATACAGGTTAGGGCAGCCGTTCGCGTAGTGCTTGATTTCAATCGATTCCTGTCTGATAAAACTATCCTGAATTTTTTAAGCTTATATTCATAGAGTATCTAAGTAGGCACGCGTTTGTGAACTCTGGAGTGCCAAACCATGCTAATACCCTTGTTACAGCCATATATACCATTGTAAGGCAATATCTGTGAAGAAGGATATATTAGGTAATACATAAAACAAGTAAAGTAATTAAATTGCCAACTGACCTGTTGTAAGAATACATATTTTCCTGACCCGACGTCCAGCGCATGGGATTCCGCTCTTATCCCAGTTCTTAAACCTTGCAAATGATCCTCTAGAAGCTGACTCTTCAGGCCATTCTGGCGAGCATACCATATATATATACATAAAGTGGAACCTCGCTTAACGAGCATAGTTCGTTCCAGAATCATACTCGTTAAGCAAAACACTCGTTATGCGAAACTATTTTGTTTATTTAAATTGATGTAAAATACTATAATGCGTACCATGTGGAAAAAACACAAAATGCTGTGTATAACGTTTATTCAAAGAAAATTATATGCATATTGGTAAGGAGAGTACATCATCGTCATCTTTTCTTCAAACGTGGAACGAACCCACCAGGAATGCGAATTCGATTTGCAGAAAACAAAACAAAACGTCGAAACAATTATGAAAAATAGCTAATTTTTTTTTTTTTTACTAGAAAGATGTCCAGAGACATTTTTTTTTTTTTTTTGCCGACGCTTCAAAATTTGGCGAAAATGCGATACAGCACTATCATTAAATAAATCTACAGCGCGCATAGCCACTTCCTTATTAGGGTGATGCTTCTTAATGTAAGATGCAACAGTTTGCCGTTCTTTCAGCATTTCTCTTATTTCGCCAGAAGATTGTTGCTTTTCTGTTACCTCCTCCTACCCCACATGGTGGCACTTTGTGTCCTCGTGTGTTTATCGCTTGTGTGATGTCCTGGTGGAGTGGAAAGTCAGTCAGTCAGACAAGCTTGTCGATGCTCTAGGCGATAATCCATGTGACTGCCACTGACTATTCTAGTTACTTAGGTAAAGTAAGTTGCGTAGTTTTTACAGGACACTGGAGAACCAGTCCCAGCATTTCTTGGCTGCTGAATTTTTTCTTTCTAGGCAAATTTACGTCAGGTAGTTAGACATTGCATCTGGACAGTCGGCTTCTCGATACCAATTTCGAAACCAACACAAGGCGCAAGTCTCGCAGCTGGGATCGAACTCGGCACCACAGTATTAGGAAGGGCGCGGTGAACGCCTAAGCCACATACGCTGACGTGAAGAAGGATAGGTGGGCAAGAAATGCTGATTCAGTCAGTGCAACTCTATAAGTATGTCGCAAGACAGAGATAACTAAGGACGCGGAGAGAGTTAATAATGGCCAGTGATGTGGCAGATGTATCCTAGTTAGTACCTACCCTAATAACAGTAAAAATATTAATAATAAAAAGCAATAGCAGTAGTAGTAATAAGGGTTGGTGAACCGCCCCAGTGTAACGGCTTGACTCTCGTATACGGACTGGGGTCATGACCAGGTATAGTCCCGGGAAGTAAAGGCGGTCGGTATGATGTTGATAACATCCCAGAATGATTGGTCTATAAAATATAGATCTATCCCGAATAAGCGTTATACGCCTGAATGAGTGGAAATGGGTCATAATGGCGAAGATGAAGAAACAGAAAAAGAAGGAGAAGGAGAAGTAGAAGAGGAAGAAGAAGAAGAAGAAGAAGAAGAAGAAGAAGAAGAAGAAGAAGAAGAAGAAGAAGAAGAAGAAGAAGAAGAAGAAGAAGAAGAAGAAGAAGAAGAAGAAGAAGAAGAAGAAGAAGAAGAAGAAGAAGAAGAAGAAGAAGAAAGAAGAAGAAGAAGAAGAAGAAGAAGAAGAAGAAGAAGAAGAAGAAGAAGAAGAAGAAGAAGAAGAAGAAGAAGAAGAAGAAGAAGAAGAAGAAGAAGAAGAAGAAGAAGAAGAAGGAGGAGGAGGAGGAGGAGTGGCGGGGGATGAGAGGAGGAGGTAAAGAAAAGGATTAAGAAACTGGTAATAATGATGGTGATTTAGGTAATAACAATGAAACTGACAAAGGTGATAGTGATGGCGATAAAATATTTCCAGTTTTTTTTTTTTTTTTTTTTTTTTTTCAATACAAATTTATAAGTGCTAATAAATAGCTTCTACTAATTATTTTTTTTAAGAGATGACATAGCGTATGAGGGAAATAAAGAAATAAATGCTATAAAAATAAAGAATAAACAGAAGAAAAATAAAAAATGAGACAGACAGAAAAAGAGAAGAAGGATGGAAGATAATAACTGGATAGAGAAAATAAACTTGCTTGTATAGGTTCCCTTAATGCCCAGTTGTGGATTTGAATTGAGTATGGCAAAGACAGTTTCATCTGGAAATTGTGTAATCCTTGACCAGCCCAAAAGATGTTTTGCTATTTGATTGTGGAGAAGGAAATCGACATATTCCCTGCAAGAAATGAAGCAATAACAGTTAATGCTAATACTCTATATTAGAGGTCTCCACCTATAGGTGTGAGGAGGTTTCAAAGGTGACGAAGAGGAGCCGGAGGGAGCGTTAAGCAATTTTGAAATTTAGTGCGTTAGTATTTGTAACAATCCGTTGTTATCTTTTTTTTTTTTTTTTTCGGGTAAGTTATTAAAAAATTATTTTCAAAACTATTTATAAAACAAAAAAGCAAGATTTTTTTTTCTTTAAATTTTCAAATGCAGCTTGTAAATCTGCAGTTACAAATCCACTTAATATAATAACACAGGTTTTTAATTGTAGATTAACGCATTCTGGCCAATTTTTTTTTTTTTTTTTTTTGGGGGGGGGGGGGGGGGATGGGGACGTGGGGGGGGGGGCCGCTGGGGTATAGAGATCTTGCCATATACTCGGAAGTGGGGGGGGGGGGATAAGGGTGAGGCGTAAGAAACTTGCAATATAGTTAAATATTGGGGCGAGAGGGGGGGGGGCGTGAGGGTCTTGCAATATAGTAAGTGGGGTCGGGGCGGGGTAATGGGCGGGGCGTAAGGTTCTCGCCTATACTCACAAGGAGAATAATGGCAAGACAGATACAACGGTTATATCAAAGAAATAAATAGTGCCTAAATGAATGATAAAACTTAGTGGCGTTTTTAGGGCAAGTACTGAAGTTCACCACAGTTCAACCTAGCCTAAAATACATTCAGACAGACAGACAGACAGACAGACAGACAGACAGACAGACAGACAGACAGACAGACAGACAGACAGACAGACAGACAGACAGACAGACAGACAGACAGACAGACAGACAGACAGACAGACAGACAGACAGACAGACAGACAGACAGACAGACAGACAGACAGACAGACAGACAGACAGACAGACAGACAGACAGACAGACAGACATATGTCTACGTACATACACACACACACACACACACGTACACATACATATACACATATATGTATATAGCCAGATTGCCACCAAAAAGAAACAGGTGAGCATCAAGTCTTCCTATAAGTGAACATCAAGTCTTCCTCTAAGTGAGCATCAGGTCTTCCTGTAAGTGAGCATCAAGTCTTCCTATAAGTGAGCATCAAGTCTTCCTATAAGTGAGCATCAAGTCTTCCTGTAAGTGATCATCAAGTCTTCCTGTAAGTGAGCATCAAGTCTTCCTGTAAGTGAGCATCAAGCCTTCCTGTAAGTGAGCATCAAGTCTGCCTCTAAGTGAGCATCAAGTCTTCCTGTAAGTGAGCATCAAGTCTTCCTATAAGTGAGCATCAAGTCTTCCTATAAGTGAGCATCAAGTCTTCCTCTAAGTGAGCATCAAGTCTTCCTGTAAGTGAGCATCAAGTCTTCCTATAAGTGAGCATCAAGTCTTCCTGTAAGTGAGCATCAAGTCTTCCTATATGTGAGCATCAAGTCCGCCTCTAAGTGAGCATCAAGTCTTCCTATAAGTGATCATCAAGTCTCCCTGTAAGTGAGCATCAAGTCTTCCTCTAAGTGAGCATCAAGTCTCCCTGTAAGTGAGCATCAAGTCTTCCTGTAAGTGAGCATCAAGTCTTCCTGTAAGTGAGCATCAAGTCTCCCTGTAAGTGAGCATCAAGTCTGCCTGTAAGTGATCATCAAGTCTTCCTGTAAGTGAGCATCAAGTCTCCCTGTAAGTGAGCATCAAGTCTTCCTGTAAGTGAGCATCAAGTCTCCCTGTAAGTGAGCATCAAGTCTCCCTTTAAGTGAGCATCAAGTCTCCCTGTAAGTGAGCATCAAGTCTTCCTGTAAGTGAGCATCAAGTCTTCCTGTAAGTGAGCATCAAGTCTCCCTGTAAGTGAGCATCAAGTCTTCCTCTAAGTGAGCATCAAGTTTTCCTATAAGTGATCATCAAGTCTTCCTCTACGTGAGCATCAAGTCTGCCTATAAGCGAGCATCAAGTCTGCCTCTAAGTGAGCACGAATCACATTCTAACTGCTAGGCCACCACGGTCACATGTACGTATGTAAAGGATGTCATTCTACGATAACAGGCGTTTTGGGCATATATGCCTAGACCACTATTCCATGGACCAATCGGCACTGGGTGGGCGATACTGGTTAAGATCAGACCCGCCGCCTTTACTCAGTAGGACTTTACATGGTATCTATTTAAAGATGTGTCGAAAGCAAGTTAAGGTCTTAACAAAAAATTGACTGTTTTCGGATTTGAACCCCCGACCTTCAAATCCGTTGGCGAATGTTTATCCATTACACCACGGCGGCACCCTAAATGTATGCATATGCAAGTTTAATTTCTTTACCTGTTGACCACAATATGAACCTGTCCCTTGACAATTCGCAATCTGTAAGGTGGACCTTTCCGACGGGGAAATCTCCTGAAACTCACCCTGTAACAAAACAATATATGCCAAACATGGTAGAATTACATGATCACAATGAAAGAGGATACGTGTTCGCAGGTAATCATCTACTGCGATTTAACGATCTGTAGTAGGACATGAATGATAGAGGTATTGAGGTAGATTTGTGACAACAAAATGTCATTGATCTTGTTGGCTTAAAGGGGTGCCAGTTAGACAGAGAATGAAAAGGAAGGGAGGAGGAGGAGGGCGGAAATGATTGCAGAAAGGATGAGAACAGAGTGTCTAAGAAGCACACTTAATATATCTATTATGGCCTGAAATCACAGGCTTTATTTGAAGTCGTTTTGCTGAATGCGTTCGGATCTTGCTAGTCACACACTCGCCATCGCCACGGGCTGTGTGCCTGTGCCTCTCTAGTACAATGTAACACTGCCGTCTTCAAAGACGGACAAGTTGAGTTGAGTTGATTCAAGAACCTACATCACAGCACTCGGGGCATTCACATAAGCCCTCCGTCCCCATCTTTAGCAGCCAGTGAAGAGTTCCGATAGTAATGGTGCCAGTAGCATTCTGATTAAACGTCCGTCTTGCCTTTCCTCTGTGTCTCGAGCATCTGCCAGAACTCATCGTCACTTCCCGCTACATCAATTTCACCAGACGGTGGTGATCCAATTGCTCCTCCGAACTGTACACGCTCTCCCACAAGACACTAACCACGTCAAAAACGGAAAAGTGTCAAAATTAACCCTTAAACTGACCTACTCTTCGCCTCTTATAGCTGTTGGTTTTACAATGCATGCGTACTACTTAAGTAAAGAACAGCTTTCCACGCCTACTGAAACAGACCCACATTTTAGAGACCAATCGGCAGGGCGTGTGTGATTAGCCTACATCACGCCGGCCTTTTTTTTACCAGGACTTTTCCTGGTACGCATTTATGACTCGGTCGACTTGGGCCATTTCGGAAAAATCTTTGGCCCCATCGGAAGACATTCAAATCTGCAGGCCAGCGTTTCATATGTACTGTGTTCTTTCTTCTTCTCAAAATATGTCATTATGTTTTACACAATATAGTTGACCCACTGTAAACTAAGAAATGGAAACCATGTGGTAAATTGAATCAACGATATATCACACTTATAATTCATCTGTTTCAGTTCTAGTGCACCATTTTAAAAGTTAAAAAAAAAATACAACTGGCCCCAACAAGCTGGTAGGGGTCGCTTTAGCGCAGTCGATAGGAGACTCGCTTTCAAATCAAGCTGCGACTCGCTGCAGTCTACGGCTGGTGTTCGAAACTGGGCGGTTCCTCGTGTTCACCCAGCCTCTAGGAAATGGGTACCAGAGTGAAACTCATCGGTAAATGGAGGAACGTCGCTGAAGCTACAGAGTTACGTGGGGACGGCGACACAGACGGACAGTTTCTTATCAGCTGTCTGTACTGGTAGACCACTTATGGTGTATAACCGTGTGCAATGACGCTGGTTCACATATCCCGACTTTACCTTTACCTTTACAAGCAGGTAGTAGAATGCCAATACTTGGGAGGGGCGAAAATGGGTATGTATGTATGTGTGTTTGCATGCATAGATGGATATATATATGTATGTTTGTATGTATAAATGTATGTACGTATGTGTGTATGTACGTATGTATGTATGTGTGTGTATGTATGTATGTCATCCTCATCATCATCAGGTGCCTTGCCAACTGGCGTGGGCGATCATGCCTCTCCATAATCTGCGATCTCCTGCAGCATGTATCAGTTCGTGTGCCCGCACATCTCCATGCCATGCAACAAGACTGTCGAGCAACTTCTCTCGTTGTCTTCCTCTGTCCCTCCTTCCAAAGATCTTTCCAGTGGTCTCAACATGTTCTATTTTCCCTCTTCTTATAACATGGCAGAAAAAATATGACTGTCTCCTTCTGATGTCTGTGATAAGTTGTCTTCAGGATCCCGCCTCTTTCAAAACCTTTTGGTTGCTCTTTTTGGCTGTCCAAGATATTCTAAGCATTTCTGTAGAACCACATCCCTGAGGCCTCTAAAAATTGTTTGGCCTGCCTACCGATTGTCCAGGATTCACAGCCATATGTTAAAACTGGATGTATGTAGCAATCAAGAATTCTTTTTTTAACTCTCAATGACAAGGATATATTGCACAAGATGTTTTTCATTTTATAAAATGCAGTTTTTGCCTGTCCTATTCTGTTTCTTATCTCAGTTATGCATCTTCGATCTGAAGTTATCCATGTGCCCAGATACTTTAATTTCTGTACTTGTCCTAAAATAACACTATCGACTTTTATTACACATTAAGGAATAATTTGTTTCTTTGATACCACCATTACTTCTGTTTTCCCATTATTCAAACTGAGGCCAATTCTTCCACTTTCTAACATCACAATGTCTATCATTTCCTGTAGTTCTTTCTAACTTTTTTGCTATCAAGACTGTGTCATCAGCATAACGTAAATTGTTTATATTGTGCCCACCAACCACAATATATGCTGTATGTATAAATTATTATGTTTGAAGGTTTGTATTACATATCTATGTATCCGTTCATGCATGTATATGTCTATGTATCCATTTATGCATGTATATATGTATGTATGTACATATGTATGTATGTAATATTTATCATCACCAGATAGTAGTCCTAAAATCAACATTAACGATTTTTACCTCTTGACTGATGACATGACGTCGACTGCTCCTCGATATAGAGTTAAAATTTTCACAAGCTCGTGATTTGTTCTCAAGGGAAACTCTTGTCCAGTCAAGTTGATGAAATACTTCCATTTTGAGTACTTCCACAAATCTTCCATACAGTTAAGCTCTGGTTCAAGTACTGTGTATCCGCCCCAGATTACATCGCATCGTCTACTTGAGAGGAATACGTTGTTAAAACAATTTGCTATTGCAGAAATTGCCTCGAAAGTGGTGTTCGAAGCTTTAAGGTCTACGTGGATGCAGTAAAGATTCTGTGGTCGGTAGATGGCACGTAAAAGTCGCTCTACCATCTCAGTATCTTTATAAACCATTAATGAATAAGCTATGGGAAACTGCTCTTCCTCGTCCGTCAATGACGACATTATATACCCACGTTGTTTTTGGAAGACATCACAGTCTTCTGTTAGATTTAAGTAAAATGAATCCGAAAGCGGAACGCTGATATTGCTTAAAACATGTTTGGCAGCAACAGTTGCGTTAATAGAGCCTTTAAATATTGCTGCACAATCTAACACGGGAACTTTGACTCGTCTTGAGATATCTTGCAAAAGTTCTTTGACCGTTGCATTTTTTGAATTTCGTACGAAAAATGATTCAAAAACAGTCAACTGAGATGGCAGATAGGCAGTGTACTTCCATGGCGCTAAGGGAACCGTGAGCATAATCAAGCAGATAACAACGATCAGACATAAGAAGGCTCTTAAATAACATGACCGTGAAGATACTGCTTTGGCTATTTCTGACATTCTTGTGCCTGTAATAAAGTACTGTTAATAATAAAACTGGTCTCCCACAAACGTAAAACAGTACAAAACAAGGCGTCACAAAAATTAGCTATACGCAAGTTAAAACTTGCGGCGTCCGTGGCTAAGACGTTGCGAGTCTGACTCGTAATCCAATGTACCGCGATCGAAACCTGCGTGGATTTTTATCGTGGTATAGGACGTCGCAGGTCGACCCAGCCTCAAATGGGTACCAGGATGGGCTGTCCTGGGAAAGTAAAGACGGCCGGCGTAATGCTGACCACATTACCCATCGAGTGCCGATTGGTCTGTAAAAATATGGGTGTTCTTCCCATATGCCCAATGCGCCTAAGGGCGTGTAAAGGGATCTTTACTTTTTTTTTAACTTTTAAGTTAAAACTTGAGATAATTCTTATTGATAATTCATGTTTATGAAAGAAATGTCAGCAAGACTGAAGGATAAATGAGTAATTCTTTGATATCATCATCAAGTGCCGACTTTCGTGGGTGATCAAGCCTATTGGCATTTTGTGATCTGCATCTGTCTTTATCAGTCCGTGTATTGACACCCCTCCATGCTATGACAAAAGGTTGTCGAGAATATTCCCGCGTTGTCTTGCTGGGTCTCATCTCCCACGAATCCTTCCAGTGGTGTACAACATCTTACAGTGCTTTTTCTTCTCAGAACATGTTCAACAAATGATGGCTGTCTCTTTGTGATGTTTGTGATAACTTGTCTTCGAATCCTCACCATTTTCAAAACAAATGGGCTGCTCTTTTGGTGGTCCAAGGAATTCTAAGGATTATCCTGCAAAACCAGACCTACTGGGCCTCGATAAATTGTTTTGCTTGTTTGAGTACCTGTCCAGCATTTATAGCCATATGTTAAAACGGTGTCTATATAGCATGCAAGAATGATTTTCCCAACCTCCAGTGACATGAACTTATTGCATAAAATGTTGTTCAATTTAAAAAAAATATGATTTGTTAAATATCAAATTTAAACTCTAGCCAGGGCGAAACAATCGTCCTCACACTGGCGTGACTGCACGTTACACAGAGCTGGTGACAAGGTTACATGTGCCCTAGTTATAGCTTCTTTGGGCCTGGAACAGGGTGTTTGGGATCTGCCATCCAAATTGAGAATTAGATAGTAAAGGTCCTTATTGATGTAAAGTCGCCCTCCGCCTGGGTACATGGACCTCAAAAGCATGTAACATCGCCGCGGAACTTCCCCAGGGTTCTGCAGTTTCACCGACATCATAGCACTCGGGACACTTCCATAAGCGCTCCGTCCCTATCTTCAGCAGCAAACGAAGAGTTAATGTTCCGACGGCACAAGTAACTGTATATCCGAAGAAAAAGACGAAGAAGAAGAAGAAGAAGAAGAAGAAGAAGAAGAAGAAGAAGAAGAAGAAGAAGAAGAAGAAGAAGAAGAAGAAGAAGAAGAAGAAGAAGAAGAAGAAGAAGAAGAAGAAGAAGAAGAAGAAGAAGAAGAAGAAGAAGAAGAAGAAGAAGAAGAAGAAGAAGAAGAAGAAGAAGAAGAAGAAGAAGAAGAAGAAGAAGAAGAAGAAGAAGAAGAAGAAGAAAAAGAAGAAGAAGAAGAAGAAGAAGAAGAAGAAGAAGAAGAAGAGGAAGAAGAAGAAAAAGAAGAAGAAGAATTTGGAATGCTCTGCCCCAACATACACCACCAATGCAGTAAATAACATAAAATCATTTAAAAATAATGAACTTGAAAGTACACGTTACCTGTGCCTTGATTTTGAAACACGGTAAAGTCTTAAATAAATGTCCTTAGTTTATCAATACTGGTAGTTACTTATTCATTATGAATTAAAAAACAATTAGATAAGATCATATCCTTGTGTCGGAGGATGGGTTATTTGGTTTATGGTGGGTTTTTGTTCACAAAAAGTCCAATTTGAATGTTTATCCTACTAAGATGTAACATACGTCATAACACTTTGAAACCACTAACTGGCATATAAACTGGCGCTGGGGGAGCAGTCACGTAGCTGGTTCACAAGTCAGAGGCCACACAAAATTACTTAACAGGTGTTCATAAGAGATAGCTTTGTCACTAGAGGGGTACCGAATGAAAAGGTGGGGAGACACGCGGTGAATTTCAAGTGTTTGAAAGTGTTATGAATTCACATTGACACTAGCAGCATTTTTTCTTTTTTTCTTATCTCTTTGCTTTCAAAGAAATCGGTCTCAATATTGACTGCCTTGGGAGCGTTAGTTCTCATGCACCTCTATCTCTGCATTGTGGGCTTGGCGGTTGGGAGAGCTTTCTATAGGTATATATACACATATAAATTTTTGCCCTATAAGGGATATGATCTGCCTAACTGACAGGAAACATACTGACATGAGCGTACTTGTTACCGATACTACGCTCAAACATGTACGAGATTTTAAATATATAGAAGACATTTTTATGGAGGGTGGCAGATTCGATAGCGACATAGAAGCTGTAGTGCAGATGGAAAATGCTGTTACCTACCAGTTAGCCGCACTACTTAAACACATATATGTGTCTGTTCTAACAAAACAGCAAATGAGTCAAAGCATCTTCATCCCTACTCTATGCTATCAGTGCCAGACATGGACAGTAAATAGCACACTGGAACATAAAATAACTACAGGTTAAATGATCTGTCCCAGTAAGACCACTAACACTAAAATAACAGCATTGGAGAAAAGGTTGGAAAAAAACCACAGATTTTAAAATTGTATTTCGAGATTCTTTGACCTTCTTGTGCTCCCCTCCTCCCCTTCCTCCTCCCACCCTCACCCCTTCCCCTAACACAACCAAACAACCTATTCAGGTTGAAAACGACTACTTTAGGTGACTATAGGTGGGAGATCGCGGTGAGCTTACTAGGCAGCCATTTTGTGATTTTCATTCCAAGTAAACCAAAGTTCCCTCTTTTATACCGTTGGAGCATAGGCGGTTGATGCTAGACTGGTAGCATTCTTCTTCTTCTTCTTGTTCTTCTTCTTTTTCTTGTTCTTCTTGTTCTTGTTCTTGTTCTTCTTGTTCTTCTTCTTGTTCTTCTTCTTCTTGTTCTTCTTCTACTGCTTCTTCTTCTTCTTCCTCTGCTTCTTCTCCTTCTTATTCTTCATTTAATTTAGAATATCAAAAGCATTGTGTATTTTTGTTTCAACAATCAACATAAACGTTTTTTGACTTTTCCTTAACTCAGAAATTCATTTGTTGTTGTTACCTTTCCTTATTTTCAGACGACACTATTGTATTTTGGAGACACAGGACTCACAGCACATAGCGATGTCATGTGACGAAAAACACCCATAGGCGTTAATTGAGAAAAGATTGGTACATTTATGACATGGTCTTTTAGGACCATTGTAGTCATCATTTAGTTC